ATATATATATATATATATATTAGGGTGGGTTATAAAATTTTTTTTTAGAGTAGCTAACCTGGCTATGGGCTAAAAGTTATTTTTTTATGTACTAATTTAGGAAAGTATTTACGTTTATAGATTGAACAATGTCTTCCACCCGCAACTTTAATATCAAAAATTAGCAGGCCCTATTATTATTCAAAAAAAACGTTTTTCATAATTATGTGATGTTGGTACTCAAATTAAATGAAATTTAATAAAAATTTAAAAAATAATAATTTTCTTATATAAAAATTATTATTTTAGATATTGCACAATAACTATGGTTTTTTAACTAAAAACGAAAAAAGTGCATTTTTACATGTTTTTTAAATTAAAAAAATTTTCAGCAATATGATTTTATAAAACAATTATTATTTTCGAATTTTTTATAAAACTTCGCTTCTTCTAGTACCAGGTTGACCTACTTATGAAAAACTTTTTTTCTCCAAAATACTAGGGAACCGATAATTTTCCCAATAAAGTTTCACCCTTAAAATCTATCACAATCATTCTCATATTTAATAGTATCACTGTTAATAACTATACACAATGTTTATAGTCTGTAACAAGAAAAAAATTTCACGAGCCACCCTAATATATATATATATATATATATATATATATATATATATATATATATATATATATATATATATATATATATATATATATATATATATATATATATATATATATATATATATATATATATATATATATATATATATATATATATATATATATACAGTACCTGCTCAAATTATAAAACTTTTTTTTAAGAAGTTATTGCTGTTTACTTTTGTTGTTTATGTGTAAATTAACTTTTTATCATTTATTTTTTGTTTTAGATAAGGAAGATTTATAAAATATATACACTTTAAAAAAATATTTTCAACTTCATAAAAAGGTATCGTAAATTTTATTAATATAAAATTAAAAACTTTCAGTTGATTTTATTTGTCAAAACTCTAATTATAAATTTTTTAGAGGCATATACTAGGTTGTCTTTATAACTAAAATAATGCGGTGTGAAAATCTATATTTTGATGGATAACTCATTTTTTTTGCATACTGTATATATATATATATATATATATATATATATATATATATATATATATATATATATATATATATATATATATATATATATATATATATATATAAATATATACAGTATGCAAAAAAAAAAAAATAGTACACTCTTACACAAAAAAAAATCATAATTTTAAAGATTGCATCAAAAAAATGAGTTATCCGTTAAAATATTTGAAATTTTTAAAAAATAATTGTACAATCGTACACAAATAAAAAATTTAAATCGTAAAAAATTTTTTTTTAGATACCTTATTAAGTATTGTTTTAAGAATTTACTTGTGTATTAGTGAATTAATTGCTTTTCATACCTATTGAATTTTTAATGATGTATATAATTAACTGCAAAAAAAATAATATTACGCTGACAAAATAGGTTGTTGTTTTAGCATAAATTGAGCAAATTGAACGATTAAACTAGTTAGTAAAATTAAAAACAGTAATTTTTCAAATACATTTTCATTCTTGAAATAAAATATAGTGTTTCAGGAAAATGGCGAAAAGAAAACAAAATTTGTCTTCCCATCAACAAAGCCTTGTAATTGATTTAAAAAACCAAGGAAAATCCTACCATCAGATCCAAAAAAAAGCAGGAATTCCTTTTACGACAGTGTCCTCAATTGTTATGAAGCACAATCTGATTGGAACCATTGCTAGTGTGGCTGGCAGAGGAAGAAAACGCAAGACCACTAGTGCAATTGATTGCAATATCATCATTAATGTGAAGAAAAATAGATTTGTTTTGGCAGCTAAATTAACTTCAAAAGTTCAAGAAGATCACAATTATCACAGTAACCCCTCAAACAATTAGAAATCGGATTAGAGAACAAGGATATAGAGGTAGAGTAGTTTGAAAAAAACCTTTTTTAACTTCAAAACAAATGAAACGTGGATTAGAATTTGCAAAGAAGTACGAAAAAATGCCGCTATCATATTGGAAAAAAATTTTGTGGTCAGATGAGTCCAAATACAACCTTGTCTCATCGGATGGAGTTCAAAAGTGTGGTGAAAAAAAGAAGTTTATAAATTAAGTTGTTTGCAAGGTAGTGTAAAGCATGGTGGAGGAAATGTGATGTTTTGGGGTAGTATGAATTGGAAAGGAGTGGTGAAATTGACATTTATTTATGAAAAAATGGATGCTTCAATGTATTGTGAAATTCTTAAAGCCAACTTGTAACCATCTACTAAAAAATTGAGAATGGAAAACGATTTTATACTGCAGCAGGAAAACGATCCAAAACATACCGCTAAGAAAACGAAGGTATACTTTGACACAAATAGCATCAATGTTTTGGAATAGCCATCTCAAAGTGTGGACTTGAATCCTATAGAAAATTTGTGGTATATTTTGGACAGAAAAATTGGTGACCGAGCATTTGGACAAAAAGACAACTTAAAAGCTATAATGAGCGCATGGGATAATATAACAACAGAAGAGACTTAAAACTTGGTCAACTTAATGCCAAATCGTCTTGCTGAGACCATCAAGGCCAAAGGAGGCCCCACTTGATACTAATTTCCATGAAGTTTGATCAATTTGACATTATTTTTGAACTGTACAATTATTTTTTTTGCAGTCAATTTTAAGCATCATTAGATCATTTGTGTAAAATTCATTAGGTATGAAACAATTCACCCATACACAAATAAATCACCAATACACAAATAAATTCTTAAAACAATACTTTATAAGATATCTAAAAAAAAACTTCAAATATTTTAACGGAAAACTAACTTTTTTGATGCAATCTTTAAAATTATGATTTTTTTTCAAGTGTACGATTATTTTTTTTGCATACTATATATATATATATATATATATATATATATATATATATATATATATATATATATATATATATATATATATATATATATATATATATATATATATATATATATATATATATAATTTTATATAATTTTATATATATTTTATATATAATTTTATATATATAATATATATAATTTATAACACTAAACTTATTAGCTAGATTTCCAAAACTAGTAAAAAAAAGTGATCAACTTTTAACTGAAATTTATGAGCATTATGAGAACATGAACAAGCTGTTCTTGTATGAAATGGAACTCTTTAATAATTAATAACAAGAAGGAAAGAAACAAAGGGAAAAAAAACAATTTTTCAATATAATTATTTTGACTTGGTTGCACTTAAATTTATAAATTTGTATAAAATTTGTAAATCTATTTTAATTTCGTCAATGAAAAAGTTTGCAATTTATATTGTGATGACTTGCCATAAGTAATGTGATGGCTTGCAACAAATAGCGTAATAACATTTGTGTTGTAATGAGTTGCAATATTGTGTTTACTAATATTTTTTTTTATATTTACATTTTACTTTATATTTACATATTACAACATTTAGCACAAGCCCTGTTTAGTAAGAGTCCTGAAATAAAATTAAGAAATTGTTTTTCAACCATAATTATGTAGGAAACTTTAAAATGACTTCAATTTTCCAGTAGACCATAAATTCTTTGTTTTTAATAGAGTTTAGATAAAAAAAGAATAAAATAAATTCATAGATTACATTTAAACCTTACATAATGAAAAAAAACATCTAACTGAGCTAAACATTAAATATTTTTTAAGATCCTTTATCTACTTTATCTCTATTATCTAAATTATCTCTATCATAAAGAGATAAATTTCATGAACCCACATGAATATATAAACATGAAATTTCAAAACAATATCACAACTCTTTTAACTTATCACTAAATAATCTAATAATTTTACTAAGTTGGTTGAAATACTGAAACTCTTTTCACCGTTTATTTTTAAATGATAAAAAACTTATTAAAAAAATAAATAACAAATCATATAATAAAAAAAATCCATAGTCATTGAAAATATTTATGCACACGCAGACTTTATATTATTTATTACTATAATTATATATAATTATAATAATTAAGCTTGTATTAACTTGGAAAAAAATTAAATATATATATATATATATATATATATATATATATATATATATATATATATATATATATATATTATCAGGCTTGGTCGGGAAGCGGGTGCGATCGCACTCGATAACTGTCCACAGAAATAATATTTAGTTGCGAAAAACTGGCCAGATTTTTTAGTCGTTTTGAGAACATTGAAGTTTATGTATGTTTCCTTGTTTGTCCGCAAAATAATAAGTTCATTTTGTCGTAAATTTTAAAATATTTTGTTTTACGGACTTACATGGAAACGTACATACACTTGAATGTTCTCAAACGTCTTGCGGAAAAATAAAAAAAGAATATTCGCGAACACAAAAAACCTGCCTAATCTACAAACAACTAATTTTATTGGTTCAAAAAATACTAACCGAAATTTCAAGAGTATTCAAAAAAAACTAACCAAATGTCTGAGTATTCTGTTGAAATATTTAAAAAACTTTATTATTTGAATTTTGTTACGTTTTTGTTAAGATTTCTAGCATAAATTATTTTAAAAGTATACTATCAAACGAACTAATATTTTAATTCTTGGAGCCACATCTGCAAAGCTATAAATAGTTTAAACTAACATTTGTTTACAATAACAAATGTTTTAAAATTATATTTTTTAACTTGTCAACATTTTGTAAATACATTTTAGATTTTATTAGTATATCATTATTTTTTATATATAAGGGATGTATTTTTTATGTATGTAATGTATTTTTATGTATGTAATGTATTTTTATCTATGTAATTTTATCTGTGTATTTTATTCAAATGTAATCTTTTAAAGCAATTTGTGCGATTGATTTTGTAAACAAAAATACTTTTAATAATAACTGCATTTTCAATGAAATTATTAATAATCGTCAAAGTTAATACAAATAATTTTAACCACTAATTCATTTTCCTCAGTATAACTGATAACTGATTCTTTCTCCCAAGAAAGAAAAGTTTTTAAGTTCTTAGAAATTGGTTTACTAACTTCTACTATTTTTGCTTCAGCCATTCTTACAAACTCGTTATACTTAAAGTTACTTTTTTCTATTTTAAATACTAATTAAAATTATGAAGTCCACTTACTAAACATTATCAGTGGTGTTGTGAAGCAGTTCCGCTTCCTCCTCATAAAGTAATTTAACATTTTTTGTTAATTTCTATCTAGCGAATTGAATTGCTACTGTAACTCAATGATTTAATTATTTCATTTGTTCATCTTATTAAGAAGAATCGTTTCAAATCTGTTAAACTTTTTAAACTACGCGAAGCATAAAACAGTTATTGAAAAAACTTTTTTATTTATAAATAAATCATCTGGTTGAATCTTGTTGGACTTTTCAGGTATGGGGGCTGCACTGTTTTGGCGGCCTTTTTATGTGCCACAGCGTAAAAATGACTTAAAAAAATACTGAATGGTCTTCTTGACCATCATTTCCCCAAACATTGTGAGTCCCGCGGCTAAAGCCCTACTACCCCCACCCCACTTCCTCAATCCAGCACTGGAAATAAGATATAAGTATATAAATAAAAATTATACATACTCTTTGATAAATCAAAGAACATTTGTTTCTTTATAGTTGTTACTTTATACAAAAAATGTCGCTTTATTTTATAAAAAAAGTTATAAAAGAGCAACATTTCAAAAATAAGTGCCCTTCGCGTTTTTTCGTATAAAAAGCCATTTTTTTTTTTTAACTGTCTCTCGTCAGTCCAGTTAATCTTATTGCGCTTTTTTGTTTGTTTTTGAAATGTTCTCAAAACGACTAAAAAATCTGGTCGGTTTTTCGCAACTAAATAATATTTCCGTGGTCAATTATCGAGTGCGATCGCACCCGCTTCCCGACCAAGCCTGATATATATACATATATATATATATATATATATATATATATATATATATATATATATATATATATATATATATATATACTGCCAAAATAGTGATAGATTTTATTTTTTGGAGATGTTTATTCTTGTTATGAAGACTTAACATTTCACTTACAATAATTTATAGTAAAACTAATTTTTATTTTCTAATCTTGTCACAGCACAATTTTTAAAATAATAAAATAATTAAATAATTAAATAATAATTTAAAAATAATAGTAAAAAAATCTTACTTGAATATTTATCGGCAGTTAAGTTTGTTTGCTCCTGAGCAATTTCTAATCCAGCCACAGCATCATCATACTTTTTTTGAACCTGATGTAACAACAACTGTAACTTCTCATTTTCATTTTGAAGCTGACTTATTGTTTTAGATAAACTTGTTTTTTGTTGGTCCAGTGTTGATTCAAAATTTTTTTTCATGATTTCAATTTCTGCTTCGTAACCATCTTGTAACTGACCATGTTCAAAGGAAGATGTTTCTTTTGATTGCTTTTCTTTATTCAAAACAACCTTTAACTCCTGGAGCTCTTTGAGAACTTCTTCTTTTTCTGCAAAAAGCTGAGAGATATCATGGTCATAAAGATTCTGCAAATCGATTATTTGCTGCTCATATTTGCCTATAGTGTGATTCATCTGTTTAACTGAATCGTTATCTATATGGCTTAATAGGTCCTCACTTTGAATATCATCTACACTGCCAAAAGAATCACCATCTGTTTCAAAATTTGAAAGCTTTTTGTGTTTTACATTAAAATCAGTTTCATCAATCTGCCTAGTAGGAATTATGTCACTATTTGTACTAGCACCTTCAAGAAGTAAGACCAATTCTTTAATTTGAGATTTACTTTTAAAAAGTTCATCCTGTAGGTTTTGAACAATGACTTGCTTACTTTCTTCAAGCAACTTTAACTGTGAATCTTTTTGTTCAACAAGAGTTTCAAGATGTGCGGTGTTGGTTTGAAAGTTTTCTATCTGCAATTCTAGTTCTTGTAAACGCAATGATTCTTTCCCATAGTTTTTTTCACTCTTAAAGTAAAAATTCAATCACTTCAAGTATTGTTCAATGTAAATAATATAAAATAAATGATATGTTTATCTTTCTTAAAAATAGCATATAATTAATTACAATATATGATTCATTGAACTAATTGATATAATAACTAATATTCATTGAATATTAAACTTTTTTCTTTTTGTTTTCTTATATATCACACACAGCAAAACAAACGTTCTATTTAAATTCTGAATATGAAAAATTTATTTAAATGGTAGACAAAACAATAGAAATAATATTAGAAAAACAAAAGTTTTGTTAATTATAAATAAAATAAAATTAGCAAAAATTTTGTGTTTTTAAATTTTTAAGTAAACATCGACATTTGAAAAAAAAATCGGCAAACTCGGCAAAATTTGTATAGTTTAGCACTTATGGGAACAGATTTTACAAAAAAACAAACACTTACGAGGACAGCATTATTGGAGGCATTTTAGTGTACCCGTTAATTTTTTGTCTCTTTAAGCATGATTTTTTTTGTAAAAAAATGTACCCGTAAGAAACTTTTATAGAGAACAAAAAGTACATACATCGACTGACAAATAGCCTGACTTGCAAGGGTGTGCTGCTACATCGACTGAGGGTTTGGTTTGGCCAGGATCAAGGTCAGGCTTAGGGTTACGGCAAAGTTTAAATTTGGTTATATTATTGTAATTAATTGTTTTTTTTAAATAGATGAAGTTAAAAATGAAATTTAATATAAAATAAATAAATAAAAATAACAAAAATAATATAAAATATATATTTTTATGATAAAATAATAAATTTAAATATGTATAAATAAAAATAGAAATTAATTAAAAATTAAAAAAAATTTATAAATATGATAAAAATAGTATAAAAAAAAGTAAAAAAAACAACAGAATGGGAACAAAAATAACATGTCCCCGAAAGTTTTCCAACTAGGATGCTATATATGTATATACATATATACATATATATATATATATATATATATATATATATATATATATATATATATATATATATATATATATATATATATATATATATATATATATATATATATATATATATATATATATATATATATATATATATATATATATATATATATACAGTCACAATCAAAAGTTTGGAACATTTAAAAAATTTTCATAAAATTTGAAAAATGTGTTCAAATATGTTTTTTTTAATTGAAAATTTTGAGTATTAATATTATATGCATACATAATTTATTTTATAAACATTTAAATTTGTTTTAGTCATAGTTTGTTGTTATTTTAGCAAAAAAATAAAATAATAATTATGGGAAGAACTAATGAATTAATAACAGAAAAATGTGCTCAGATTGTTATTCTACGTGAACAAGGATTGACACTGACTTCTATTGCTGCATGTTTTAATGTAACACATAGCTGTATTATAAAAACATTAAAGAGATATCATGAAACTGGTGATTTTAAAAGCAATGCTAGAACTGGACGACAAAAGGTAACTACTAAAAAAAGGCAGATAATCGTATGCATCGTTATGCAAAAGCATATCCGTTTGCCAGTGCTTCTGAAATTTCATCTGAGGTATTCCCCACAGGTGTTGCACCAAGTGTTGTGACCATTAGAAGACATTTGTACAAACAATTTCATTTAAAGAGCCATGTTCCAGCAAAAAAACCTTGTCTTTCTCAAAAAAATATTAGAGATTGTATGTCAGAAATACAAGGACTGGTCAGCGGAAGATTGGGAGAATGTGATATTTAGCGATGAATCACTAATGGAACAATTTGATGGTCGTTCTACAAGTGTTAGACGCCCACCTTGTCAATGATACAACCCCAAATATGTGCTTTCGACTGTAAAACATTGCCCTAAAATTAAGATATGGGGTGCCATTACATCAAATCAAAGTAGCAGTTTATAGTTTATGCCTCCTATCACCACAATAAATAGCCATGTTTATATTGATATACTTCAAGAAAAACTTATATTATTCATAAACATCAGGAATACCCACAAGTTTCAACATGATGGAGCACCCTGTCACAGGGCCAAGCATGTAAGCAGTTGGTTACGTGAGAATGGGGTTGAGGTCATTGGCCCCTGGCCTGGTAATTCACCGGACCTCAATCCCATTGAAAACTGCTGGAACTCAAAAACCAAGTCCAGAAACTGTGACCATCATGTTCCGATGATCTTCAAGAAAAAATTAAGCAGGTATGGACTCAACTTATAACTCCTGAATATTTGAGAAAACTCATTCATTCTATGCCTACCCGCTTAGCTAATTGTTTGAAAGCTCAAGGACACCATACCAAATATAAAATTCAAGTATTAAATTCATAAAACCTTTACTAATAGTTCAAAGTTATTATTTTTGTCAATTATCATGGTTACTAATATATTTTGATAAAATAAATGAATAATTTAATGAAAATTGTGTTTTTTTATACAATGTTCCAAACTTTTGATCGTGACTGTATATATATATATATAGGGCAATAATTATCTGACCTTAATCTGTAAATGGTCAGCAAAAAAAAATTAATACAAAGGTTTTACCATAAAACATAGAAACAAGGTAGACAATTTTTTTTGTCAACCTCGTGCATTTTTATGTCTGCAGTTAGGCCGCCATATATAACTTATGTATAACTTTAAATATTTTCTACAAAATAGAAGGCTTGATATTTTTAAAAGAACAGAGCAAAAATAAATTAATAGATAAGTGATTTTCTACTAATTTATATATATATATATATATATATATATATATATATATATATATACATATATATATATATATATAATATATATATATATATATATATATATATATATATATATATATATATATATATATATATATATATATATATATATATATATATATGTATATATATATATATATATATATATATATATATATATATATATATATATATATCTACTATATATATATATATATATATATATATATATATATATATATATATATATATATATATATATATATATATATATATATATATATATATATATATATATATATATATATATCAGGAGTGTACTCTCATGGTCATCTGGTAGCACAGGACAACTTGTTTTCACCAAGGAGGACTGAAATTTTAAAAAAATGTCTGTCAGTAGCTTGGCAGGACAACCAGACATTTTTTTACTTACAAAAGTGTGTTTATTAATAAAACTATGTGTTGATCTATAAAGATTACTAAAAGAAAACTTGAAAAAGCATTTAAAGTAGATTACACTTCATTTAACAATGAGTACACTATGATGCGTTATATAATTTTACCAAACTTAATAAAAAGAAGCCGACACGCAATTTAATATTTCAAAGTGCAATCGTACTGTTTTTTTTTTATATTGTTGTAGCATTTTGAAGCACGCTTTTTCTCATATTAAAATGAGTTTTAAAATTATATTTTCTTTTATTTCCAAATGCTATTGTATCATTTTGTAAACCTTATAGTCGCATTTTGAATCATGTGAATGGGCAGTTGAATCATTAACAACACTAAATCTCTTTTGTTTTTCATTAGTAAAATTAATTTTTTTAAACTCTGTCAGACGAAATAAAAAACATTATCAAGATGCACATTATTAAAACGCAATTAATGATTTCCACTCAAGAGGAAATTTATTTAAAAAAAAAAAAAAGTCTCAGTATAATGAAAAATGTTCAAAACATTAAAAACATAATGTTTTAAACATTCAACTAAATTAAATTTGAATAATAGAATATTTTTCTATATATAAAACATTTTTTTACCTTGTCTTGAGACTCTTGGTTGAATAAAGACTAGATATAGTATCTCAATAAAAAATTTAGGCAAATGTTGTCTTAGCTACTATCCATTTTTGTTCAGCTACTGTCTTGTAGATGGCTTCTTAGGCAAAAACATTAGGGGTATTCAGAATAGTTCTGTTGACTGCTGTTTCTTTTTACAAATTCAGCTATCACCCTTGAATGATCTAAGACTCAATAGTCACATGCTGGGCATTTACTAATGCATCAATTCACCTGGCTCCAATATGTCTGACGTTAAATCAGATATGAATCTTCTGACTATTCTTTTATACGCTTCATTTAAAACCTCTTCATCCAATCATCTTTCTCTTTGTTCTTCTTCTCAAGACTGCACTCTTTTAATGTAAATTCTGACCAAGCCCTTTCTCTTAACACCTCAGCCAATATTGTTGTTATTGGTTACTTTAATGCTCATCACACTGAATGGCTTGACTCTAACACTAATGATCCTACTGGCACTAAAGCTCATAACTTCTGTAATTATTTATGGCTTACTCAGATAGTTAATTTTGTGACTTATTTTTCAGATAACCCTAATCACTTACCTTCTCTCTTTGACTTGTGTCTTGTCTCTGACTTTAGATTGTGTTCAGTTTCTCCTTGTTCTCTTTTTTATCACACTATTTACTCCTACCCTAAAGCTGACTAGAACTCTTTTCGTAATTTTTTTCATGATGATCATGAAAAAAAATCACAAACTCCTCTTACTGAAACCTGAATTCTTACACCTTCTTGGACTATCATTCAATATTGACTACTCATGGAAACCATATACACAATCAATTGCAAAATTAGCATCTGCTAAGGTTGCTTCTCTTTATCATGTTCACTATTATCTTACTCCTGATTCTATTCTCAACCTCTACAAATCTCTTATTCATCTCTGTATGAAATAGGGTTGTACTATTTAAGCTGGTCCTTTTAATGATGCCTTTTTCTCTTCTATACAAGGTCTAAAAACGCATTGTAAATGTACATGAACTTGCTTTATCTGCCTAGCTTGAGCCACAGTACAATTTTTGCAAGATTGCTTTTCTTTCTCTTTTCTAAAAATACTATAATGGTCACTGCACAAAGAAGCTATCCTCTCTAGTTCAATGAATCAAAACTTATTCTCGCTTGGATTGTCATTAAGCAAAGTTGTACCCTTTCACTGTATCTGTCTTTTCAGCTCTAAAAACTTTTATTTATCTAAATTTTAATGCTTAGGAACTCTCTCCCAATTTCATATTTTGCTGACTTATACAACCAACAATTTTTAAAGTCTTCTTTCAATAGTTTCCTTGCTATTTAACTGTTCTTTGTTTTCCAGTAACTTCCATCTTAACAGTGGTTGCTTGCAGTCTAGTGGTTTTTATTTTTTTTATTTTAAAACTGATATTTCTTGATTATTTCAATATTGCTTCTTGCTTATTTCAATATGTTTGAGAAGCATCAAAATAAGAATATTATTTTTGATGTTCTGTCCTTTTTTGTTTCGCTTGTAAAAAAAAAAAAAAAAAAAAAAAAAAAAAGTATAATACTTATTTCATTGGTTTGTTTTTCTTTATCATCTTTTTTATCTTGCTCTTATCTTATGCACTACTTATGATCTTGGTCTTATGATTAAGTTCTAACTTTATCTGATACTAATTTACTTTCATTTTTTTTTTTTTATGTTTTTTTTTCTTTTGTCATCTTTTTTATATTTTTTTTCTTTTTTTTTTTTTATGTTCAAATAACCTTTCTTCTCCAGCCAATTTAATCTGATTGATCTTCAAACTGTTTCTGATTGGCCTTTTTTTTTGCTACACAGAAACAATTACAAAACTTATTATCAAAATCTTTGACTTATGTTGTATTATTTTTAGAATTTTGCTTTTTTTAATTTCTTGATTTTTTCACATTTTTACAGACCCTTTATGAACACATAATTTGCATAGATTTATACATATAAAAGCTTTTCAACAATTGGTATTGATTTTAGATTAAAGTTTATAAAAAAAAACGACTTTTAGAAAAACTGGTTATTAAATTTTAATATTCCAAAAAAACTGGTTTTAACAGATTTTCAAATTTTTGAAAAAAAATTAAATAGGGAGAAATATTTAATTTAATTTATATGAAAAAGCAAAAACCAAAATATCAAAGTCATAAAAAAAAGAATTACACATAACTTACATCAAATGACAAAAGCTTTCAAAAGCAAAAAAATTTGGAACACAATATTTATATTTATTTCAGTAGTTTAAACTTTTCTAACAAATAATAGATCAATACACATGGAACCATAACAAAATACTTTGTTTTTTTCTATTAATAATTATTTTTGCATTATTACTATTTCTTTACATAAACAAATAATAATACAAATGTAAATAAATGGAAAAAATAATCTATACCTTTTCCAACAGAAAAGACAATTCTTGAACTTGCTGTGATAAAATTTTTATTTGTGATTTATTTTCTCCTGCAGTTAATTCCTTTTCTTTTTCAATAACATGGGCAAGTTTGTTTTTCATCTCAAGCTCTTGTGTTAATAAATAAATTTGCTGATTGAGCTCATCAACCTATACTTAGAAATTTATTATTAACTTATTTACATAAATAAAAATTACAACACTACACATGCATACAAAAAAAAAATCATAAAATTCATTGTTAAATAATTGGTAATAAATCTTCTTGGCTAAAATAAAACTCTTTTTCTCGAATCTAATAGAATCTACTTTTTCTAAATCTAATGTAAGCTCTTTTTTTAAAACTTAATGAATCTCCTTCATGACTTTAATGCAGTATAGAGGCTTTTAATGGTTAAAACTAAAGAAGTAAAGTGCAGGTGAAATAATGATTTAAAATTACTTTATTGGACTTAATTGAAAAATTAGCACAGTATATATAAACTACTTGAAAGTATAAAAACTACTTGAAAGTACTTACCCTTAAAATACTATCATTTTCTTTTTCAATCAACTCATTATTTTGACTTTGTAACTCACCCATCTGATATTCTTGGTCGTTTAATCTCTGCATTAGCTCTCGTAATCTTTTTTCATAGTTTTCACGCATTTCTGTTTTGATGCTTAGCAGCTCCTCTTCTTTTACACGCAGTGCCCAAGTTGTATCTTTTAGTATTTGTTTATTTTGTTTAAAGTTTTTTTCTATAACATATAACCTTTCAATCTCACTATCTTTTTTTGTTATTTGCAGCTTTAGTTCAGTAACCATTTTTTCAATATCAGGAGAAGACTGGTGATAGGAATCTTCATTTTGCTGATCTTCAGACGCTAAGTTTAAAGGTTTACCTTTAGTTTTAGCAGTTAACATTTGTGTTTTACTTGGATTATCATCAGTCATTTTATTCATTTCATAATTATATTTAGAATCATTTTTAGAAGGAGATGATAATACAAAAGATTGGTTTTCATATAATGGTGATACTGTCACTTTGCTTGCTGAATTATTAGTGATCGGAAACGAGTCATCAAAGTTTAGTTCTTGAGAAACTTCACTTGGCGTTGTAATATCCTCCTAAACAAAATAAGAAAAGTTCTTGAATATTTTATTTTTAAACTTAAGATGATTTTGAAGTAAACTTTTAATTTAAAATTGCCTTCATGGTTCATTTTTGTTATAAATAAGGTTTCAGTCCAAATACATTTTTATTTTTATATACATGTATATATATATACATATATATACATATATACATATATATATATATATATATATATATATAATATATATATATATATATATATATATATATATATATATATATATATATATATATATATATATATATATATATATATACTCAATATACTTACTTCAAGAGTGTTTTCTAAATTTCTATGTACATCCAACTCATCTTCCTGTAAAAATAAAAATTCATAAATTATAAAAGTATTATTTTAGAACTTACACAATAGATAATATAAGAAAAGACGACACAATAGATATTCTGATGGGTCAAAAAACAAAAGTCTATTTTTACATTTAAACATAGGTATTAATAACACAGGCAGTGGCAATTGGTGATAATCCATTATTAGCACTGTTTTATGAACTATTTTTTGGAATAAACCTTTATAAATAGTTAATAGTCAAATAATAATACAAAATTCAATAAATTTGGTGACAGAAAGCGCATAAAAGTCATCTTGCTTTAATCACGTTAGTGAAATGACAAATATATTTCAAATTTTTTATATTTGTAGGTTGAAAACTCACGCAGGTAACAAATTATCACGACAAACAATTATAACAAACACACTAAAAAATTGATCTATGAATGACCATTTGGAAAAACTAAGAATTTCTGAAGCATTTTTCAACTTCCACCTAGTTTCCCTACTCTGGCGTGTCTTTCTCTGTATCAAACAATTGCATACCTCATGTTTAAAAACGTATCTGAATGGTGCTGGATCTGTTGAACTTGTTGAAATCGTATCTTCAGCTGATTTTTTATTATTTGAATGATCAGAAATTGACGAGGAAGAACTTTTCATATTACCATCCATAATGCTAGGTATAAAAAAAAAAACATTAAAAATCAATTTAATAATTATAACTATAAACCAATACATTTTAGATTCTTTTAGAATTTATTCTTCCAGCTTTTTCTATAATTACAAAAACTATATGCAAAATGCATTCTTTATAATTTTTTTATTTAAATTATTTTAATATTATTTTATATTTTCCCAATTATCTATTAGACCGCAAACAAATCATCATTATAGTACAGGTGCCACAGTAAAAAAATGTGTATTTTTTTGGATAGAATTTTCAAGATAATTACAATTAGAAAATGAACTAAAAAAATTCTTCTCTATGTATTTTTTGTTTCATTTTGTTATTTTGCAGTAGCAATGTATGATACCCATAGCATTTTTTAATGAATCACACTACTTTTTTTGGTTCATGGCTCCCAAAGGCTTGAAAAGATCCACAAAAAACCTACAAATCTGAACCTGCCTATAAATAACTGTAACTGCAGATTCCTTTTCTGTTCTGATAGCAAACTGCATGTTTTAATTAAATTCACTACTTCTTATTTTATTACCTTTTTATAAAATTTCAATGAAAGATCTAACAGCATTCCTCATTAAGAGCCTATTCTTTTCCTCGTTAAGATCCTAATCCAATGCATCACCATATATTTACAATTTTAAAACATCTGACTTTACCCAGATGAGATTTATTAATTAATAATCGCATGACAACTCATGCATAAATTTGTTACAAAGAGCTGAAACTCTATGAACAGCCTTATCATACCACAGCATTGCATTTATCGTCAATTATTTATCAAAAATTTTTTAAAACAAATTGTCATTCTACGAAGTCTTATTCAATTTCTTTTCCAGTACAAGTACAAAAACTCGTTATAACCTTTACTCTTATAATTACAGACTCAAATCTATAAAATATCAAAGCATTAAAACTTGAACAACCTTACTTATGAACTAAAAGCTCTCAATTAATTCTCAACCTTTAAAACCATTTTATTCTACTGTTTATTAAAAAAATACAGTTAATATTTATAATTTTTATAACCAATTTTTGTTGTCTTTAGTATTGGGTATTGTTACTGCTATAAATAAAACACGTTTGATATTTTCAATTTCTATAATAACTTTTGCTATCATTACTATTGCTTATTTTTATTTTTATAAATATTTACATTATTAACTACTTTCAACTATTATTACTAATATTAATACTGTTATTTTTATAATTAAAACAATAACAATAATAATATAAAAAATTACATTAATTTTTTTAAGTTAAAGATTTGATATTTTTAGAAGCATATATTTAACATCATGCATAGTCATAGAATAAATATTGCCGACAACTTGTTGTTATGTTTTCAATAAAGCTTACATTAACTTTAATCTTTGATAAAATAAATATTGAAACTTTTGATAGACTGCTACATATTTTCAATCTTTTTTTCATATTTTCCAATAAATATTTGGTTAGAAATTAAAAAAGTTAAAAATGGAAATAACCACAATATTTCATAGTGCGGGATTTACCTAAAACTATGTAGTGCACCTGGTGATACAGTACAATTTACGCATTTTGCAAGACACCAATTTTAGTAATCTCGATCAAAAACATATTTAAAATAAATTTAATAAAAAACTATTTCATTAACAACAGTAATCGCATATTTCTAATAATGCCAACGTTTCTAGGAAATACTAACATAAACTTATAATTTAAAAAAATACATCTAACGTTTTTGTGCGGGATTTACCTAAAACTACCGTTATTGTTATTTAGGCGCGTAATAATAATGATTCGACCAATTCAGTTTTACTGTACTTTAGTAACTTTACGCCCAATATTTTTAGATGAGACTATTTTTTTTTGAGTTTTTTTACAATGATACCTTGGATCAAGAAATAACCTAACACAAATTACAGTTTTATCAAACAGTTCATCAAAATAATTCGAAAAAATAGTGTTCTAAAATAGTTAAGAAACCGTTTAAGAAAAGAACGGTTCAGAAACCGTTTAAGAAAAGAACGATTCAGAAACCGTTTAAGAAAAGAACGGTTCGGAAACCTGCGTTTTTGAACGCTGAAAATCAAGGCTCTGAGAATGGGGTTGCCAAACCCTTACGTTAGTCCTAACAAATCACGGAAAAGTTCACTTATACTTATATAGCAGCCTTGGCGCAGTGCTAGCGCACTTGCCTTAGAAACGTAAGATCCGTAGTTCAAACCCCACCTCTGGGCAAGTTTTGTGAATTCGGTTGGGAAGGAGGCGTGAACTTCCTATTAAATGCTCTTTCGCGGTGCTCTGTAATAAGACCGTAAGGACTTCTTGAGGCGCCTAAACCTACTTAAAAAAAAATGTATATATGTATATATATATATATATATATATATATATATATATATATATATATATATATATATATATATATATATATATATATATATATATATATATGTATGTATATATATATATATATATATATATATATATATATATATATATATATTTATATATATATATATATATATATATATATATATATATATATATATACATATATATATATATATATATATATATATATATATAAATAATATATATATATATATATATATATATATATATATATATATATATATATATATATATATATATATATATATATATATATATATATATATACGTGGGTGCATATATGTAAATATTAAAGATGATTTCTTTATATTATCATGTATAATAATGTATATTTTAAAGAGTGCTCAATAGATAAACTAGAGCTATATAGTATATATATTACTGTTACCCGCAGTATCAGGAATTAGCTAAATGCTAATATTTATAATATTATACTGCGACTTGAAGTTTCATGTGTTACCACAATCATCAGATTTTTGACTACTTGCCTGATGATTGTGGTAACACATGAAACTTTATACGCAATATAATATTATAAATATTAGCATTTAGCTAATTCCTGATACTGCGGGTAACAGTTATATATATACTATATATATATATATATATATATATATATATATATATATATATATATATATATATATATATATATATATATATATATATATATATATATATATATATATATATTTATATTGGTATATATATATATATATATATATATATATATACCAATTAGGATCATTCATCATTATATTTTTAGCCACATTCGGTTTAACATCGTACGTAAAGTTACTTTAGCATAAATAGCAAAGAGATCCCAGATTTACAAAAAAAAAATGAGGAAAATATAAAAGATTGATCAGCCATACAATAATGTAAAATGTAAAAACATTTAGCTTTTTTTTTTTTTTAATTTCTCACTACCGCAAAAAACATGCACCCCATCGATATCTTCCACGCGACTCTAAAGTTATTGATATGCATAAAGGTTTTTTAGAAGAGAATCCATATGCTCCTTATTCTTATATTATATGTTCTTCAAAATTATTTTTGAGAGAAAAGTTAACATTCTGGGAAAATTTAATAGTGCTCAATTAATCATTTAAGAAAAAAAATGAAAATTATGTTTTTGTTTATTATTTTTGTGTAAAAAAGATTTTTTGAATATTACTATTATGTAATATTATTATTATTGCTGTTATTATTGCTATAATTATTATTATTATTGTTATTATTATTAATTTATCTTAGGTGTCGTAAGAAGTCATTACGGTCTTATCTCCAACGCGGTTGAGTATTTGAAAGCAAGTTGATTCCTCCTTTCTTACCGATGCTATAAAACTTGTCCAGTGATAACGTTGGACTAAGGATCTCTAGCTTCTGAGGCGGGCGCGTTAACCACAGTACTACGGTTGCTCTATTGAAATTTTCAATAAAATATTGTTTCTTGGACTAAAATATAATAATGAATAAAATATGGTTTCTTTTTTAGTTGGAAAGTTTCAGTCACTTAAACCAAAAGTTGGAAAGTTTCAGTCACTTAAACCAAAAGTTTAAAAAACTATAGATTTTTCTTTTATAGAGCATTGATTTATAAAAAGAACCTTTTCAACGGCTGTAAAAATGTAGTTTTTTTAAATGTTTCTTTTGTTTTTCACTTTGATATTTAGTTTAACATATGAGAATCTGTTGCATCGTCGCGTTTTTATATTTAAAACAACTTTTTAAGAGTTTCTATAATCATTCTTTTCCTTACACAAAATCTTATATATATGTACAATTTTTCATAGAAGTTAAAACTTCTAAGAAAAAATTCATTGAACAGTAGTCAAAAGAAAAAATTGAACAGGTAACACTAGGGCTGTTTTTACCTATAGGCTAACTTTAAGTTAACCTATAACCTATAGCCATTTTAAGGCCCTAAAATTGTGGGCTCTATAGGGTCTTCCCAATTTTGGGGGCCTATAGGGCCTCTCTATTTTGGGGGCCTTGAAATTTCTTACACAAAATCTTATATACATATTCAAAGTTAAAACTTCTATTAAAATATATTAGGGGTTCAAAAAATGTTTGGGTTTTTAGAGAGTTATTAAAAAGTACTACTTTTAAAAATAATTCCTGTGGAAAATTATTAACATTTTGTAAATTTTTATTTGCACAATCATTAAGAATTGCAACACTAAATCCTTTGGAGAATAATTCTGCACGAAGATATCCTTTGGAGAATAATTCTGCACGAAGATATCCTTTGGAGAATAATTCTGCACGAAGATATCCTTTGGAGAATAATTCTGCACGAAGATATCCTTTGGAGAATAATTCTGCACGAAGATATCCTTTGGAGAATAATTCTGCACGAAGATATCCTTTGGAGAATAATTCTGCACGAAGATATCCTTTGGAGAATAATTCTGCACGAAGATATCCTTTGGAGAATAATTCTGCACGAAGATATCCTTTGGAGAATAATTCTGCACGAAGATATCCTTTGGAAAATAATTCTGCACGAAGATATCCTTTGGAGAATAATTCTGCACGAAGATATCCTTTGGAGAATAATTCTGCACGAAGATATCCTTTGGAGAATAATTCTGCACGAAGATATCCTTTGGAGAATAATTCTGCACGAAGATATCCTTTGGAGAATAATTCTGCACGAAGATATCCTTTGGAGAATAATTCTGCACGAAGATATCCTTTGGAGAATAATTCTGCACGAAGATATCCTTTGGAGAATAATTCTGCACGAAGATATCTTGAACAAATCTGAATAAAAATCGTTGCGCTAAATTAAAGAATTGAAGAAACAAAACCAAAAAACTAATAGTTTAATGCTACATATACTAAACAATGACTTTTTATTCAAAATATTTTCGAGGCCCCAAAAACTAATTTAGCTTAGGGCCTCCGAGGATGTGAAATCCTGCTAATCATAAATTAATGTAAGGTTTCTCAACGTGACACCTAACACGTACAATTATCAATTACCAATATTACAATAAAACAGAATCTGATTTATCTTTGATAAAGATCTGGTATTATCATAAGAGTAACTTTTAGTAAGAATCATTCAGAGCTCAAAAGTAACCCTCTTCAAAATTGCTATATTTTCAGTATGTTGATGCTATTTAAACTGGATTTACCTTTCAGTTGGATTAGCATCAACATCCTCAAAATTTTAATTCAATATCGAAAAAATTTTTAAATGGTTTTGTGCACCATTTTGTGCACCAAAATGGTTTTGGCATTATTCGGTAAATTCTAAAATACTTTTCAAGCTTTGAAGTCTAATCTCTAGGAACAAAGAAGTTTTCAAAAATATTTTTAAAATGATCTTTTAGTATGAATAGCAACAAAATATTAAAATAACAGCTTAGAAAGGTCACTATTGACCTTTCTAAGCTGATATTTTTATATTTTGTTGCTATTCATACTAAAATAGAACGACCATCTGTAAGGATCCAATAGTGCTCACACAATGAGCACTATTGGATTCTTACAGATGGTCGCTCTCAATCAAAAAAGAAATCTATGTTATTTTTTTATACCCCATAGGTTTCATTTTTAAATATGGAAGACTTCAATACCCATTTCTTATTAAAAAAATTTGAGACTTTCTAAAACTGTTTTTTATCCTCTTTTAAAACTTGGTTAGTATCGAAAAGCAAAAAATCAACTCCCTGTTAAACGTATATCGTACATGTTGTATGGTAGAACGGGACGTACAGGACAGTTATGCTTGAAGCCTAATATCTTAGCTAAAATTTAATATTATTTTATTTTAACTTTTCTCATGTAAATTTCTAAACTGTAAACCTTTTCTTTTGCAATACATGGACGAAAGATAGATCTTGAGCTAATTTGTTTTATTGTTAAAAAGTTGAGATTTTCTGACATTATTTTTTATTCTGATTTAGAATTTGGTTCAAAAAAACTGCTATTTAAATCAAGTGGGCTAGGGGGGCTATAGCCCCAGGCCCCGCAAATTTAGGGACCCCCAAAAATTTTTGAGGATTTTTTTTTTTTTTCCAGTCATTTTTAGGCTCTGGGTTATAAAAAGGCTTCCAAAAACAAAAATAGCCCCCGGGTCCCAAGAAGTCTTAATCCGCCACTGTATACAAGCGTACACACGCACACACACATACACAAACACACACACACGGGCGCGCAGATGCAGACGCAGACACGCACAGTTTAACATATTTATTATGAATTAATGTTATATACCCGTTGCTATGATGTTTCAATGAACAAAATTATTTTTTTAGTTTAATTTATTTCTATTC